TGATTAATAACAATAACTAATAATAAGAGTAATAACAATATGTTAAAATAAAAGTGATGAGAATATGGACAGTTTCTCTCTCTTACTGTATCTAATACTATTTTTTCTTCTTGTGACATAAAGTAAGTCAATGCTAAAGGTAAATAAAGTAGGAACTATGGTATGGCAAGCTTTAGGCTATTACTTCAACACAAGCCCTGTGATACTATGACACTTACTCTAGTAATAAAGATTATTAGATTACTAGGAAGTTACTATATCTGTAAAAAAACAATTTAGTTCGCAAAAAATAAGCATTCAGCATAATTTTCATTCTTTTCACAAATTCTGCATCAGATGATATATGCAATCGTGGCCATCTTCCTTACACAAATATGAATGTTGCCATCTTCATCAGAATAGGGGAAAAAATTAAGTTTGTGGACCAAGGTACCACTGTGTGTGTGTGTGTGTGTGTGTGTGTGTGTGTGTGTGTATGAATGACAAAGCAGTGATTCATATTCCAGATATCCCAGAGGTACAAAAGGCACAGTGTCAACTTTCAGCATGCTACTCAGAATGGTACAATATTCTAAAAAAGAGAATTGTTTATTTCTGGAATTCTCTGTTTAATATTTTCAACTACAGCTGATCATAGATCACTGCAACTGCAGAAAATGAAACTACAGATAAAGGGTAAATGAATATATTCATTTTATTTCAGTCTAAATGAGAGTTGTGTAGGAAACTTTTTACTGTAGCGTAGCTTCACTCTATGCTTTTTTAAACACTGAACTAATCATCATAAACTCTACCAGAAATCTCCTCAAACTATTTGCCATCAGCTCACCGAAGGTGAAGGAGTTAAGATCACACCACCACCAAAACATCACTACAATATATTGAATATTTAAGTTAAAATCACTTTAAAACCAGCAGATACACAAAACATCACTCTATCAAACAGTTTCCTAACAGGAGATAAATTTCGCATGTGGAAGACACAATACCTTTATCGTTAAGCATGAGAAATTAACAACAAAACAGCTGTACAGGGCTTGTTAAAAGAATTTATCGGTTAAATAGCACACATATTTAGTTATTTCTTCACAATTTAATATTCTCTGTCCAACCCAGGATATAAGTAATTCATATAAGATTCCTTTTATTTTAATTTTAGGGAAAAGGGTAAAACAAAATTTCATAATAACATCATAGAAGAATAACAGTAGTCAACATATTGCATATTATTTAAAGTAGTTACCCAGAGTTCAAGACAAGGGCATAAAAATTCCCCAATCAATCTTAGTACAAACGTTTCATTTCTTTAAGCTAAGAGCCACCAATAGTATTGTTAATTTAAGTAACTGATTCTAAGTGCCATTCATTTCTTTTTGATAGCTTCTGTGTCCTCTAACATTTGTATCTCTTTGCTATTATTAATCTGTCTTATGTCAGTTTGATTCTGAGGCTCAGGTAGGACCCTGCGAAGAAGAAAACAGAGTTCTCTTACTCTCACAAAGACTCTCTGTTTACCCTACACACTGCAAAACCTCCTCAAACACTCTTCTTTCCTTGCTGCAAACTCATTTGTTTGCTATGTTTCAGCACCTCTGAAATCTATTATGTTGTGCTCTCATAATCTATTATGTTGTGCTCTTCTTTGTGTTCCTTTAGAGCACAAAACATACCAAATACTCACAAAGTACCTCCTCTATACAAATGCCACCATTAAGTTTCCAAGGAGCAGATATGGCCCTAGTCCATGGGCTGCATAATCAATCCAGGAACAAAAACTCCAAGAAAACACTTAAAATTAATTAACAAAATGATTAAAATGGTTCAGAATGATCTTAAGGAAAAATAAAGGGCGGCATTGAAATATAGAGCAGTAGAAGAGGGACAGTTAAGAATAGTCAGACAAATGTTGCAGGCAGAGAGAGAGTAGGAGGGAGGGAAGGAGAGAGAGAGGGAGAATAAAGGTATGAGAGAGAGAGACAGAGAGAGGGAGGGAGGGAAGGAGGGGAGAGGGAGAGACAGAGACAGAGAGAGAGAGCAGAGAAAGAGAGAGAGGAGGAGGAGGAGAGAGAGTAGGAGGGAGGGAAGGAGAGAGAGAGAGAGAATAAAGGTATGAGAGAGAGACAGAGAGAGGGAGGGAGGAAAGGAGGGGAGAGGGAGAGACAGAGACAGAGACAGAGACAGAGACAGAGACAGAGAGAAAGAGAGAGCAGAGAAAGAGAGAGAGGAAGAGGAGGAGAGAGAGCAATCCAGACCGAAAGGCTAACATGTAAAAACACCTACAGGTAAAGAAGTGGTGGGAGGAGTCAGACATATTTCAGGAAAGACTAACGCTTGACAATGTCAGAGAATGTACTGGGACCACACTGCCTGGGCAATAATGTATTTCTCTGCAAGCAAGAGCTCACTTTAGGCTAAGCAGAGGGCAGTGAGCTCCTGTCATCCAACCACAAATTCTTTAGAATGCAGCACTTCATGCCACAGAGCCCATGACAACTCGTGAGCCACATCTGCACTCCCCCTGAGCAGCTTCTACTCTATCACAGATAAATTATAGGCATTGTTGTTTCTTCCCAGTGTGAATCTCCCATCAGGTACCCATGCTCAGGATTGCCAATGGATTACATATGTCCCTCATATTTTATTTGAGATCATCCCATCTTCCCCAATGTGAAGCTCTTTCTGGACTCCAGTCTTGTGGAGTCTGAGATAGGATTCTTAGAGCCAAACCTGAAATGGGAAACAAGGAGTATCTCAGTGAAACAAGCCGAGGCAGGGCTGGAAGAGGAGTGTCCTCAGAGGCTGCCAAGGGGTCCACAGCCACCCAAATTAAGCATTTATTGTTTCTAATATTCTACTCATGAACATGGAGGAAGACAAGGAACAAGAAACCTTGAAGAGAGTGACAACAGAGTGCGGATGATCCACTGGAAAGTGCAAAGCTTAAAAGCTTGGAAAGGTATTCCATATTTATAATGTGAATCATAAACAAAAACAACTGAAAGATTTGAAAAACTTGCAGTTTTTCAAAAAATATTTTCATAAAAGAAGCACAAGTAAACTTGAAGTCACAGAGGATATGGCTGTTGAAGATATTAGCACCATTAAAAAGAAACTTTTTGCATTAGGCCAAAGAGAAAGACATCTTGAAGACAACTTGGGAATCAGCAAGGTGAGGTCCCACATTGTAGACCTAAGCTTGTTAAAACATGAAGTCTTTTAAAAGTCTTTGCTTTGAGAAAAGAGGTCTCAGGCATTCTGCTTATTCAGAGATACCTACAGAAATGTGTTCCCATGTCCATCCAACCAAACAATCATAAGCCACTGCAGCTATGTTTCAAGGGGACCTTGTCATTGCTCACACTGGTAGCAGGCTTTGCTATCATTCACATGATGTTGATTTTGCAGGCCTGTAGAATGCAGGAGTTACAGAATCATGCAAGCTTCCTCCCAGATTTTAAAGACTTGGAAGTCCACACAGTGTTTGACAAGTTGGAAGTCAGTACCAGGAGCCTCTCAAACAGCCATGTGTGACATTTTGGGTATGAGGCTAAAGTGGCACTGGAAACCACAGGAAGTTTGAGATTTTAAGGATGTGGAATATCATAGAAGACAACTGAAGTTAGTGAGCCGCGTCAGCCCAAGAGAGAGGCCATCTGAGGAGCAATCAGAAAGGCCATAGGAATGAGGCTGGCTACATCTTGTAGAAATTATATCAGTCACCACATCCTCTGGATACTGGTCATGGAACTATAGGACTTAATGTTTGCTTGCTGGCTTTTCTTTCTTGCTCTGGTCCTGTTACTTTCTGTTCCCGTTTCTTCCTTTTGCAGTGGAAATGGTTAATGGTTAACAGTTTAACTGGTGCCACTGTGTCTTGGTACATAACTTTTTTTTTTTAATTTTACAGGTATTTTCAGGTAAAGACTTGCTGTGAATCTGCGAGGAGACTGAACTTGGGATTTGAGCAGTGCTGTGATGACTGAGACTTTGGGAAAAGAAAATGCATTCTATATGGCAGTATAACTACATAACATTGGATAAAATTATGATCCTGTTGACTCCATTTGGAGATTATTATTTAAGGAGATGTGTTTGGATGTCAAGTTAACAATGGTTACACTTGTAATGGTGAATCTTGGATGACTTGAGAGATACTTAAGAGATAGTAAAAGACACTTTCAGAAGTGTCTGCAAGACTCATGGTGCATGATCTTGGAGGCTCTCTCTGGTCACTGCACCCTTTGTCTGTGTGTTCTTCCAATGCAGTTTGGGTGCTATGAGTTGAGCAGCTTTCCCCCAACATGCCCTTCTGCCATGGTGTCCTAGAGCCAGCTGACTATCAGCTGAAACCATGATCCAAAATAAATCTCTTCTACTGCAGGCCAGAATAAAAAGAATTTAAGAGATTTCGTATATCATTTCAATTATTATCATAAATGTAGCAAAATAGAGGCTTAATTATTAACTAATGAATATGATTAAATATTTGGTGCTAGATGAAAACTCATTACTCAATACCTTAAAGAATATGCAAATAGAAAGAAGGAAATTCTTCTCCCACTTAAAAAAAGTAAGGGTGATACATCTGTGTTGACACAAGAGATACAAAGATGGCTGATGGGTCAAGTCAAAGGATATTTCTCTGTTTCACTTGTGCATACAATATGTAAAGAGATATATTACAAAAACCACATACATCCCTCCATAGCAACAACAAACTAGAGATGAACAGTAAGTTCTGGTCCTGTACATGGCCCAGTTCACTCCCTTTATACCTTATCAGTATAAGATGTTTGTATTTGTGACCTTTGATTAACATGTGACTGCTAATGTTTTAGCAGCCCAATAGAAATTTATTTCATATATAGCAAACCACATGATATTAAACCAAAAAGAACATCTCAAAACTAATAAACATTTCAGATAAGTCAGAGCTTTCAACCGGGTATTTTAGAACCTTGGTGAGACGACTTTTGGCCACTAAGCAATGCACAGCTTACCTGTAGGCCTTTTTTCTCTATCTTTTTTTGAAGTACTTGAAGGCACTTGGTAAAGTCAGTGTGATCTTGATCAGGAGTTAAAATAAGCTCACACCCCTACGTGTTGAAGAAAAAGGAAAAGTAAGAATAAGTAAAGATTTCAGGGCTGGGGATTTAGCTCAGTGACACAGCACCTGCCTGGCAAGTGCAAGGTTGTGAATTCGATCCTTGGTACCAAAAAATAAACAAGGAAACAAAACAAACAAATGAAGATTTCAGGCTTATGAACATGACCAAGAACTATACAAGGAAAGACAAGTTAACAGACATATCCTATTCATACTGTGTGGTTCTGCTATCAATAGAATCATTCTCACTGTCTTTTTATTTCACATAACAGGACATTTAACAAACAATGCTAGAATCTTACAATAAAGCGCTGATGATGGCAATCGTTTTCATGAAGAAAATATAGATGATACATTAATGGTCTTTAGAAACAGTGATGAAATGATATTAAAGATAAACATAAGGACCTTGTGTAAGTATAATTTATATTCACATGGAATTATCTGAAATCAAAATGAAAGTATTTCCAAAAAATTAATTTTTTAAGTAAACTTCATACGTGTACTTACATGGAAGGAAAAGCTAATATTGATACTGAAGTAATGATATAATTTTACATTTTATATAAAATCAAGTGAGCTATTGTGTAAATTTCCTTATAGCCTCTTCTCATATGAAAAGCAGCACACAGCTATGCACCCATAAATGTCTCTTGTATTGTTGTTAAGACATAAGGAGAATTTGTAAATTCTTTGCCTTGTCTACAGTACATAGCCTACCTATGGAATAACGCTGGAACGCATTTATAAATGCAAAGCTATAAAAATTCCAAATTGTTGTTACTAGTGAACTTAGATGCCTGGTGAAACTGAACTTTTGAAATGAGTCCTTTGCCTTCAATGTCTCTGGGAGGCGAATGTCCCTAAAACCAGATCACGATGACACTTCATACTTCTTAATTCAGGGATAAAACAATTCTTGGACTCTGACAAACAGCTGAGTCAAGGAAAGTTAAATATAATCTACTATAAAAAGTTGCCATTCAAAGAGTTTTCAAGGATACAAAACACCCATATTACCTCTTAAATTATTCTAAGAACCGTTCTCAGTAGATTTAAAAGTTCTGCTTTTACCTCAAGGTCTTTTTAACTGTGTCAAGTACAATCTGTGCTTCACTCATTTATGGCTATCCCATGATATAGTAGTTACCAATGGAAAAATTAACCTCTGTCATCCAGAAATGTATTGTGCTCTAAAAGATGCATATGTCATCTTTACAAGATTGTCTACATACACTTCCTTGATCCTAAAGAACATTGAAATTTACTACATAATCACTAAGCAAGGGCATAAAGAAGTGACTTGTTTCAGGCTAGCATGTGTAAGAAAGAAGATCTGAGCATATGCCACAGCATTTAGGAATATCAACAGGACTGAAGAGACTACATTTACCAAAACAGAAATCATCACCCTGAAAGTTCCTTGAGGGCAGGAACCATTTTATTCATTATTGTTTCTAGTGCCTGGCATGAATATGTAATATAGTAAGTGTTCGATACATATTTAAATAATAAGCTTAGGAAACAGAAATGCATTTTATTAAATGTAAAAATTTACAGATCTTTACAGAAGTGTACACTAACAAGGTGCTAGGACAGTGGTGACATGCATGCCACTGCTGGCAATTTGTTATCAATGAAAGCTCTTAGAGGTTTCCCATCACTGGGCTAGGACAGAGGAATGTCCTATTGCCAATAAAACAGGTATGACCATGGAAAACTGAAAATTTTTAGTGATTTGATGTTTTCTTTAAAACAAAACTGGAAATCCTATTCAAGGACCTGAAAGATAATAAATGGAATTTGGCCAATTGGGAAAGTATAAGATTTTTTGATAAATAGTTGACCACACTAACAGAAATACACATTTTCATTTCAAATAATGGAGAAATTTTCCTAAAACCTAAACAGCAAAAATTTTTAGAACAGTCTAAAGATGTCAAGATTTGAGTACAAATTTTAAAGTACTGCTATCTTTGAATTTCTTTAGCCAAATCAATTTTTTTGATACAAACATTTTGTGAACCAGAAGATAACTCTTTTTATAGTATACCTTTTGTATGTATTTTTGTACGTATATTTAACAAGTTGCTTTGATGAATATACAAAACTGGATTATTATTTAATATGACATTTTATTAATCTTGGCTTATTATGCATTGGAAAGATTTAGATTAATGTCAAAGATTTCAGTATAAATCAATATACAAGTTATTCTAATTTTGTTTTATCCTAAGAGATTGTTTTCTTTTGTTGGTTAGTGTGGACATTTGAAATTCCATGTGGAGTTTGGAAGTAAGCTCTGTTTGCTAAAGCAGAGATTTATCAGGAAACCCCGTCTTGTGATGAAGTAAGCCTCTATTTATAGCGCAACAATTCCAAATTGATTCTATACTCTGTTCTGTCTATACAGTGTATGCAACTATAGTGACTGCCAAGGGGATAGGTTATCCCTCGATCCGAGCTCCCCTGACAATAAGCACAGTCGGGTACATGCCAGGAAGCCAGAGTGATGAGTTCGTCCTGGAGACCAAGCAGCACAACTGTTCCCCTCCAGAGCCAGGAAGCAATGCTTGATGTGAGGACCAGAGCTTCTCCAGGAAAACCAACGGCTCAAACAGCAACTCCTAGGAGAACCCACAATGCCTCAACACCTCTACGCAGCTTCCTTCTCCTCCATATCTCTATTTATGCTGGCAACTTTGCTCAGGGGGAACATCTACACTTCGCACCATGGTGATTTAGTTCTGCTGGCGTTAAGTTGACCACCACTTTCCAATCCACAACACACACACATCTCGCATTAATACAGAAATAGTGGCCTATTCAGCTTCTGGAGCATTCTGACAGAGCAAATGTATAAAGAAGTAAAACATGTAACCAGTACAGATGAATCATACATTCAGGAGTTACAGAATCACACCAATAGTATAACAGCACAGAACCTCAGACACTGGTTCTAGGACCTCTGGAAATATAAATAGCTATATTAATAAGATGCCATAGTATCAGTAAGAAGCTTACTTATATCCTCCTGTGGCATCCAGTGGTGGAGGTGGGAGGGTTTATGACCCTGTTTCTCTTCATGTTCTTGCCTCACTCCAGTGAAGAATAAAAGAGTGGGACATGGAGGAGTCAGGACTGGTAGAGTGTGAAGTGAAAGTTTATTTTTCAAGTGTGGCAGATGCAGAGAAAGCAGAAGAGCTACCTTAGCAGCAGAGTGGTGCTACAAGACAGCGGACATCCTGCTTGGGATGACCTAAGGAGTATGCCATGTGTCTGTACTTATAGGGGCAAACTGTTTTGTTGACCAGTGTGGGCTGATACATAGGGTGCTGTTTTTGTTTCTGGGAAGGGACAAGGTCACGTTATAGTAAATTTAGGTAACACTTTCAAAAAGAATACAGTAGGGGGCATTTCTTTTTAAGCACATGATACACAACAAGCATGTGATGGTCTTGAGATTGTCAACCACAGATAGTCATGTGATGATTTTACCACATTGGTCATCTGTGTTTTGCCCTGGACTTTTGTTTACATTCCACTATTCTTTCCCTATACTTCCATGTGCTTAAAATCATCTGCATATTATTTATAATACCTCATACAATGTAAATTCCATGCACATAACAGTTATACTGCATTATTTGGCAAAAACAATGACATGGAAAAATTTTATACAGGTTCAATATCACTACAGTTTTTTTTCCTAAATTATTGTTGATTCTTGGTTGGTTGAATTTTAGGATGTGGTATCTTTGTACAACTCAGGCAATGCATGCATACAATGCTAAAGACATGTTAATTACTTTACATGTGTCTTGGCAAAGCTTTTGTTAAAGTATGAAGGGAATACAATGAACTTTTTCAGTTTCAGGCTTAAGGACCACAGGAGAGTTGAACTGTACAGGTTACACTTCTTAATCTGAGTGGCAGTTACAAAGATATTTGTTTTAGACAGGAGATACACCACAGTGGTAGGGACTTACCTACCACACATGAAGCTCTATGTTTGAACTCTAACACCACCAAAACCAAAATAAAAATATGTAATAAGTATGACTTTTGATTTTATAATGTACATGTTAAACATTTCATACTGTTTATTTTGTTTGTTTGTTTATGATAGGGTCTCCTATAAAGTCCAGGCTGGCCTTGGGCCCACTTTGTAGCACAGGCCTGTCTTGAACTCGCAACAACCCTCCTGCCTCAGCCTCCCACTTGAATACTGTATTTTTTTAATCACATAGCATTTATTAGCAAGAAGGACAGATAGTGCCAATTCACCAAGTACCAAGAAAAGATTTAAATATCCATTAAATTTGGTCCATGATCAAGTGGATTCCCTTTTCTACCCTTCCCACAAGGTGGTACAAACCTACAATGACAGAAAATTTATAACTAGCCCCTTTGACATCTAAATAATTCTATTAAAATTCAATAAAAATTTTATATGAAATTGTAGTGTATCTTCTTTTACTGTCCTATAACAGCTATTAAGTTTACTTGCTGTGATCATATAGAAAATATTTTGTATTTCTTTTGATTTCTTTTGTATTTCTTTTAAACTTACATTGTTGTTTTCTCATGTTTATTCGACTGATCCTAATTATAAGTTTATTTAAGATCCAGAGCCCAACCAGTTACATGGAGTATCACTCTCAGCTTCAGGGGACACTCAATAGACATGACAAGCTTGGGTTCCCCAGGTGCCCCATGTCTCAGGACAACACAGAGCCCTTAATCATGAAGTAAGCCATCTCCTCAATCCTGAGTATCTCAAGCCCCGCCATCTCCAAGTGGGACATATTTGGAGACCCTCCAGGGGATTCCCTAAATCACAGATAACACGACTCCCAATATAGGCAATGCTTGTAAAACAAAGTTTAATTTATAAGTTGAGCATGGTAAGAGATCAACAATAACCACTAATAAAATAGATTATAAGTATATATTGAGATAAAATGTATGTGCATGTGGTCTTTATCT